TGAACATGAAACCCTGACCTGATTACGCTGCAAAAAAAATGGGGTCTCCAAATTCATGTAATATATTTGGAGCACTGGGTTGAGTGTCCCTAAGAAAAATATTTTGCTATGAACTCCCTGAATTCCTTAGGCATTCTTCCCCCCTACTACTTTCCTTCTGCTTTGTCACCTGTATATGTAGGGACCATGTATTCCCTGTATTTGTTGGGACTAGTAATCGTGGGTTCTTCTCCTTGTTCGTCCGGCTCCCCTCTGGTCCATGTCTAGAATAAAGTCCATTCATTCAATTGTCTTACGTAGTCTTTTGAGAATAAAAAAGCAGCACCATTAATTTTTTCTTATCCGGAACCCAGGACGAGTCTAACATCGTAGACAGGTAGGGCCCTAGCCGTCTAGCGCTTGTTACAGCAATTGTTTCCTTTTGCGTAGATTTTACAGAATGAAGGCATTTTTTCTTGTGTTGACTTCCTCTTCCCAAACGTTGCACTGTGGAGGTTGTTTGCTGTCTGAGTGTAAATATAACTCACGACGTTCGTTAGAAATTCAACTTTGTACTTTGTTTTGGCCTTGTCTTTTGAACTTTGAATGTTGTGGAATCAGATGCAGGTCATCTTTCTGGAAAGCGGCCTCAGGTTGTCGAAGTTGTGGGACTTCCTCATACAACGCTAGATGAAGTGAGGGAGAAATAAATAACCTCATCTCATAACACGACGTGAGGTTGCCAAGGGATTTAAAAAATATATATATTTAGAATACCTCCATATTTGAGATGAGGACATGACACCTCTCAGCTAAGCACGATTGGGAGGCCCTTATAAAAATCCAATACCATTCAGCACGTGTTGAAGGATGTTAAAACAGTGTTGGAAGGTGACGAAACTTCGTTGGTTGTGTGGTAAAGGTGTTGGAGAGTGTCGCTAAGAGGTGGGAAGGTTTGTGGCACGTGTTGTAGAGACAAGCAGGTTGGGATAGACGCTGGGGTTGGGAGGAAAATACCTTTTTCTTCCTACACCTCCTTTAGATGGTAATCTATGATGGGAAAGTGTTCCTGGAATTTCTCTTCATCTTTCGGGTAATATTCCGTAAGCAGTGTGCATTGTGATAAAGATGCTTTAGATACTTTTAAATCTAGAATAACAAAGGTTCCTACTGCGCTGCATAATATTTACATTATATTAACTCTGGCGTTGACTTAGTTGACTTAATATCACCCTGATCCATGCCAAACAATGTCCTGAAGCAGTCCCCAGATCGGATAGGATTCTATGAAGCTCTCCGCTTGAAAAAAGGATTATCTTGGGATCTCGGGCACTAATTTTCTGTTCGACTGTCAGACGGTGTCCAGATCGCAGGTCTGCTACGTTTCCTGTCGTGCCAAAATTTGAGTCGATACGGGCTAACAACTTCCGGCTGACGGTTTCCCCGATCAATTTCTTCCTGAATTGTCGAGCGGTTTCCGTCGCATTGGAGTAAAACCAAACTTTTACGACTCGCTTATCATTGGTTAATCGTTTATCAGCCATTTTTCTCAATCCTCCATGAAATGGAATTGATCACAGCAAAGGCACAATAACTCTCACACTCGAACAGACAATTGGATGCTGTGCCGCAAGGATGTTTTCACGAGCCAATGTCTTTGTATTGTTCCCAGAATAGGAATTTGATTTCCGAATGATACCATTAGCAAAATAATGCGAAAATCCTTAATTCCAAACAGAATTGTGTAGTCTTCCGAATGGTTAAAACAGCATCTCGATGAGATCAAGCGTTAAGAAGTTACTCGTATTCAGGAGGTGGGCAGGACTTTTGACTCACCCTGTATATCCATAAGCTCCGCCAATCTTCTGAGAATAAAGTCCTTCAGATGTCAAGCTCAGCTGCTGAGAAGTACTAGGGCCTCACTTGCTTCTTTTAAGGCGAGACCACAAGTAATTCTCAGAGGTTTTAATAAATAAATTTGTCGCATTCTATTTTGCACTCAATGGTGTAGTCAATGATGCAGTCAATGGTGCACAGTGGTCCATAGTGAGTGAAAACCTGGCTGAAAATCGGGAAAAAAATTTTATTCAAAATCTTCCAAACTTAACCTGTCTCACCCTGAGATGTCCAAAAGTGCATGGCAACACCGAAAAAGGAACACTGCGTCCCCCGTTTCGAAGGAGTAGGGTCGTTCCAAAACAGAAAAAGTAGGAGAGGTTCACTAGTACTCGGTGAACTGAAAATGTTTTCATGATTTTTCTGCAGGCTATCGATAGTTGTGAATTTAATTTGTTCTCACATTGAACATCAATGTCTGAAGGCCAGGCAGGTGAGTATTCGTCCCTCCAATCCCTTACGTTACAGTCGAGGAACGAAAATCTCCATGATGGATGGGAAAGTTTGCCTATTAAGCCTTCAACCTCGATTTCCTTACAGACGGCCGTGGATGACTGGAACTAAAAATACATATCCATACCCCCGCACTACTAATGTAGACACGTGACCCCCAATTTGCTGCTAGATTCTGCGAGTATACTCACAACGACGGTTTTTTGACTCCCTCCCTACGTCCTGGAGACATATTCACCCGATTGCGACTCGAGATCCCGAAAGAAAGTTTCTCCGAAACGGGAGATACGAAGGTATTTATCGGCATAAAGTCTTCATAATCAACCCCACCCCTCATGGATCTGCAAAGGCATTGCGTCGAGCAATTGGCGAAGTGAGGAGAAAATTGAGGCAGAGATGGCAAAACCGGGCCGAAATCGGAGCGTATTCTTGAATCAAAAATGAGCCAAAGCTGGATGCAAAATTCGAGTTGCAATACCAATACCGACCATGACTAGACAATTTCAGTAATCCCCTCGAAACAGCGCACAGTGGCCTCAAATGATGACCATCATTGCAGCATTTTATCATTTTTGAAGTGAATTTTTCAACGATACTAAACACCATTAGGCAGAAACGAAGAATTTCCAATATATACGGTGATTACTCCAAAGATATGGAGAAAAGAAAAGGGAAATGCCTCATAACGTCAGATACACCATAAACGTACTAGTATGAGGCAATATTTTTCTGAATTGCCGAATCCACCTCCCCTAGATCAACCAAAGAGGGTCAGGGATTTTTGGCCAGGTTTTCAGTCATTCTGGACTGCTGTGCAGTGGGATGAACGCCACTTCGATCCCCCGCGTCCGTAATTTAGGTTCCAATGAAGCGAGGCTCTACGAAATTTCTCTTTCTGGATGTTTCCTCATGCAGAACACCCGTATTTTCGATTCTCAAAAAGAGTCCGTAAAAACGTGATGAAGCGTGCAAAACGCCTTGGAACAATACCAGCATGTTGGAGGACATGATAAGTGTTCAAGGGCTTGGAGCCACCCTATGGAACAACTCTTCGGTGTTGTACATGATGAAGTACCTGAGAACACATCCTTGGCTGGTGGTCCAGAGCATTAATCATTTTAAATATCAATTGTACAACATCATGACGCAAAAACCGCGAAATAAATCTCCTCCGTCGATCCATACGTAGCCCGGTGGAAATGAAACAGTTTTACAAGGACCATCCCCCTAAAGGATTCCGTTGCTAATTATTTATTTTTACTCCGTGCTTCTTTCTCTTCAGTCAGCTTCTGATCATCAATTCCATATGCGCCATTAGACTTAATATTCATAATATTCATAATAAACATAATATTTCTGGCTATCAACTTTTCCAGCACTCAAGTCTTTTAAAAGCACAACCACGAGCTGACACGAATCCAGAAGTTGGTCAGCATCCTCTCGGTATATTTTATGCGTTTTAGTCCAAATCTTCCAGCACAATTGACAGGAGACCGCTATCTCATCCGACAAAAAAAAAACAGACTCGCCCTGTCCATATTTGTGCGAGATCATGGAATAGCTCTCTTATATAAAAGTAATGTGGCTTTAGTGTCTGGACTTTGAAGCGTTCTCAGTCGTGCCTCCCTGGGTCCCCTCATCCCTCTTCGCCATGCAAGGGAGCCACGACAATTTCGCCTACCAGGCTGAGGTTAGTGAGTTAACCTGTCTCTACCGATCCCACGCGACTTCTCTCCTGGTTATTTGAAGGGTTATTCAAAGGTAAGGTGGTATGAAAAGAACTTAGTCATTAGACATAGAGCCTGAGTTTCTGAATAAATGTAAGCTGTATCTTCGAGGTTAAAAAAGTATTTGCTATGACAATAAAGATTTCGTTCAGATGGAACAGCACTTCGGCTGCCACGGTGATACTTATGACCTGGCGTTGTGTAACTGTTGAGCATCACCGGTTACCCTCACGGCGACAATGTGTGAAAATTCTGAAGCCACTATAGTTGTATCAGTAGCTGATAACAGTAGGGTGGGGTAGTATATTGTATGACGATGGTTTTTTTTTTGTCTCAAGAGGCTCCTTTACTCCACTCGGGAAAACTGCACTACATCAATAAAACTGAATAAGAACTCCCATGCATTAACCAGTGGGTCACGTAATGACGGTACTGAATAGTTCCATTTCTCCTGCTGTGTGCTGGTGGTGACTCAATGGGATAGTATGTCGGTTAAATGATCATGCTGTTGAAGAGTTTATTTTTCTTTAACTTCATATTTTGAATTTTAAAGTAAAAGGTCGCACTACCATAGAGAAAATAACTTTTCCTAATTTTTCCTATCAGGGACTCTTAGGTGAACTTTATTGTAGGTTAAATAGGAATCAACACGTGCACAGGGAATGCAGTAGTATCATTGCTACAATTTTAACAGAAAATATATTCATGTAATTGTGTTCAATATGCACGAGTCGAATGTTTTCCTGCCCTTTCAAAAAATTGTTAATGAATCTAATACTTTTTACCCCGTCTTCTCACTAAGATATGGGGAGATGAATACATCTTTCGAAATTAGAAATGGAGATGATATTAGAAATGACCTTGTCTTATTTATCCAACGCAACAAGTCCATTCTCCTCTTAATTGCCAGAATGGGTCGGTCCAAGTGGAGATGGGTACCATTAGAAGGCCGGAAAGCAATGGGATCTTGCCTACTTCCAAGGAAATTGTCTTTTCTTTCGATAATGTGGATGTTTGGTCAGTACCAAAAAATACATTTGGGAAAAGACTGCTCAATCTCTGCCGGAAGACAGAAACTGAAAATGCGAAACACATCCTCCGGAACGGTATTGCATTTCACCCTACCAATTAATCATTCAGATAGAATTTAAGGTTCGATTTGTATTTGACTGAATAACTTCATAAATCGATAGTGACTGGCATTGTGCGTCCGGGGGAAATGCTGGCCATCATGGGAGCGAGTGGGGCCGGTAAGACGACGCTGATGAATGTGATGACATTGCGGAATTTGGGGCATCTTAGGGTCTCCGGAAAACTCATGGTGAATTGGAAAACTTTCAAGAGGAGTGCGTTGTCGAGTATGTCTGCCTATGTCCAACAGGAAGATCTCTTCATTGGCACCCTAACAGTCAGGGAACACCTACGATTCCAAGTAGAAAACATGGAATCTCCGGAAAAATGAAAGGTCGATTGAAATAAATTAAATTAAGCGTTTATTCATATATTTTTCTTACAGGCTCGATTGAGAATGAACGAAGAAATCAAATATCGGAAGCGCATGGATCGTGTGGAAGAGGTTATCACGGAGGTGAGGGCAAAAATGTTATTCCCTAAAATTCGCATATACAGGTTGTACCGAAAGAAAAACAAAGTTCTCATTTTTAGTGAGTCTTCAATCTCTTTGTAGGCGGCCGATTGCAATTAAAAATGGTAGTTTTATCGGGTGACACAATTGGAGTTTGTATACAAAACTTCAGCTTCCTGACTTTTAAATTATAAGAGCAGTAATTATTTTCTGATGGCCAACGACAAAATGTGCTGTCGAAAATACAGTATCCATATGAACTCGAGGCTAGGATGAAAGGAAGGTTGGAATTCATGAACTTCCATCCCTGCATGATGCTACTAAGGAAGTTTGGGAGACACAGTCTCAAAGCTTTATTGACCGATCTGTGGTGTCCCAGACTAGAGACATGTGTTCAACAGAATGGTTGGCACATTGAGCACCTTTTCAATTGAAATGAACGTGCTTTAACCAAATTGTGCGCTTTCGTGTTTGGCATTTGTTTTTGTTCTGCTTGTTTGCTTGTGTTTTTTTTTGTCCGTTGTGAAAGATTTTAAGCTGAAAGAAAAAAAAACGCTTATTTTATTGGTGACGAAATGTAAATTAAATGCCTATCCCACAGTTTTTGGAATATGAAACTTGGCACACAAACCCTAATTGAGTCGTCCTGTGTGTCTACTAAATTTCCTGAAATTTGGCAGCCTGCAATCAGATTGATAACTTACCAAAAATGACAGCTTTTTTCGCCCCACCCTGCATATCATCTGTAGCAAATTGAAGATTATGAATTGAATTTAATATTACAGTTAGGATTGACTAAATGTTCAAACACAATGATTGGTGTCCCCGGACGGATCAAGGGCATCTCTGGCGGAGAAATGAAGCGACTCTCTATCGCCTCCGAGGTTCACATTCCATCATATATTGTTCACTCCTCTTATTCTTTCAGTTATTTCCCTTGCACTGAGAGACCTGTTCATTTTGGATTCATAGGTCCTGACTGATCCGCCATTGCTTTTCTGTGACGAACCTATCTCAGGCCTGGACTCGTTTATGGCCCAGCAAGTTGTGGCTCTAATGAAGGCCCTGGCCGAGAAGGGAAAGACGGTCATTTCAATCATCCATCAACCTTCATCTCAAGTCTACAACATGTTCGATCGTGTTCTGTTCATGGCAGAGGGGAGGGTTGCATTCATGGGAGACGCTGATCAAGGCATCAACTTTTTTCGACAGTATGGGTCTCTGAAATATTTATGAGTACACTCGACGCAATAGTCTCAGTCGCAGCAATAGTTTCTAAGAATCTATACGAGACCATGCTTTAATGGTTTGCACAATAAAAATGTTAACACTGTCGCCCAGTATGTCTGATGTGGAATGAATTCGTTTCATTTAGTTATTAACTGCATAATAAATTGAATAAAGAGAATCAAAATTTAAACACGGAGAAGGAGCACCTTTTCGCGCTAAAGATTCATATTTGCCATACATCTATGGGCCCTTTTTTTACGTATCGAAGAGCATTTTCTCGAGAAACGAATCTGATTGCCACATCAGGCCATAACTTCATGCTAGGAGTAATTATTTATGACGTTGATGAATTTCAATTGCGTATATCCTAGAATCTCGTTCCCACAGTGACACGCAACGGTTTTTGGCCAAATTAGGGTACTTTCCTATTAACGTGATATTTTTATGACAGGAAACAATGAGGTAATTCATACGCAGTAAGATGATGCTGCTGTTAGAGTGAGATTACATGAACTTTCTTATCCAAACTGGACGATGAGAGAGCCGAAGTAGTTTGTAGACGCTGATCACTGGATTTCATTGTAAGTGAAACACAATAACCACGTAAATGTCGGAGGGGATTCAAAGTGCAACATATCGTCAATTAAAGCAACCAAGTTCTGGCATAGTAATTTCTTATTTTTCCGGAAATGGATATATTTGTTTCACCTTCAATATTTGTTAGGATGGGCCACGAATGCCCGTTGAACTTCAACCCAGCGGACTTCTTCATCCACACCCTGGCCATCGTTCCGGGAGCGGAAGAGGAATGTCGACAAAGGGTGACCCAGATCTGCGACGCATTCAGAGACTCAGAAGAGGGGAAGGCTCTGGCGAAGGAAGTCGGTTTATCCAGCGACGAGTTGACGAGGACGATCCCGAATGACCTGACAGACGATAGCCTGAATAACAATGAGAAGACTTCCAGGTACAAGGCGTCATGGTTTGCTCAATTTTTCGCCGTCTTATCCCGATCCTGGACTGCAAACCTTCGAGAACCCATGGTCGTAAAACTTCGATTCATCCGAACCATGGTTAGTAACTAGTAATCCCATCTTAACCGTGATCATCGCGCGAAGGTTAGGCTTAAGGTTATCTTCTTTTCTCTGATCCTCCACACCACTTCCCCAATTTTTGTAAAACATGAATTTCTATTACATTGTTCATTAATTTGCGCATCTGAAAAGCATTTTCCTTTCTCAATCGCAACCATTACCATGAAATGAAGTTGGAAATTCAATCGGTTATTACCCATTGCTTTTTAACATTTTCAGTATATTGATGAAGCTCTTCATTGAGGTTACGTCTCATTCATCAGAGAAAACATTCTCCACAAACGAATAAAAGTCAATTTTATCGCAAAATTATTTTTCTTGCGAAATGAATTCAAAACATTTTTCTTTCTATATTTTAGCGTCTAATAGTCATCCACGCTTATTTAACTCTTCTCAAAAAATTGTTTCGCGACTCCTCAAGTTGCATCAAGGAACGCGCTTGATGTTCGCTACCTTCCTTTTCTATAACCTGATTCTTCAAGCTTTCCATATTCCTTCCTTGTCTTGAGTACTTGTACTGGACGTACTTACCTGGATGTTTTACTTGTAGATGCTGGGTATACTATTTGGCATCACTTTTCTACAGCAGGATCCCACGTCAGAAGGTGTGATGAACATCAATGGAGTCCTTTTCCTTTTCCTTTTCAATATGCACTTCATGAATTCCTATTCAGTAATCAATGTGAGTTTTTCCCCAAGGGTAACCCAACATTTCCTTGATATTTTTAATGAAATTGAATTCGTTTTCATCATTTTCATTTTAATTCATCTATATGTCACCTTTTCTCGATTGGTATGTGAAGGTGTTCTGCGAAGAGCTGCCTGTCTTTTTACGGGAACACACGAATGGCATGTACAGAACAGACGTGTATTTCATGAGCAAGACGTTGGCCGAGTTTCCGTTCTACGTGCTCTTTCCTATCATCTATGTGGCTATACCCTATTACATGATCGGTTTCAACGCATCAATGGATCGCTTCTTCATCTGCGTCCTCATCATGGTCATCGTTGCCAATGTCGCTTGCTCCTACGGTGAGTCCAGGGATTCCATGGAATTTCGTTTCTGTGCACGGACACCGAGTCTTGATTATTGCTTTTTCAGGGTACATGGTATCGTGCATCGCAAGTACTGTCCCCATGGCTTTGTCTCTGGCTCCAATTACGACAATTCCACTCATGCTCGTTGGTGGCTTCTTCCTCAACAACAAGTACGTGCTTTTTTTTCAAAATCTCAATGTTTGGCAAATCCTATATATTAAAAACGCAATGAAGCTGCGTGCGTATGCAGCTTCCGATGCTTTGGCCTATTCGTGTCTGTCCGCACGTCCATGTGCGCATGTGCGGCGTCTTCTGCCTGCCAAAGTGTGTACGTCTCCCTCTCTCTGGCTCACACTTTTTTTTCGGCCGTTGCGACTGTCTGGTCTATTAACGAGAACGTAATAGAGCGAGGGAGGGATGTGGGGGGGGGGCGGAAAAGGTCGGATGGCATAAGAGGACTAAAAAACGATATTCGAACACTAGGCTTTCTGATTTACAAATTATGCTTGTTACCACTACACCATGGAATCCAAGTTCCTCAATATTCCTTTCCATGTCATCCCTAACAATACAACGCGAGAGAGGGGCATTCTACGCACTCTCCCCCCCCCCTTCCCCCTACATAGGAGGTGGACACACCTCCGATATGGACTTTTCCACAGGAACGTGTATAACGCCTCCGCGTATTACACTTGTAATCCCTTTTCCTCCCTGGAGGAGGGATGACTTCCTCGCCGGGATGATATCTCCGTCCATATACCGGATGAGATAAAAAAGAGGCGCCGCTTTTGCAAGCCTTGGGCATTTATTGGAGCGATTTTTTTTTGCTTACGATGTCAATGTATCCTCTAACCTTCTTGAAAGTTTCGTTAATTCATCTCTAGCCATTCTTCCAAATGAATCATTTCACTGAAGTAACTCAACTTTCTTTCTTGCGCGGGAGAGCAACGAGAAGAAAGAGGCTGATGCCCGTTATCCGCACCAATTTTGCGTCAGTTCTCTTTGGTCTATCGATGAGGATGGTACTCTCTGCGAAAGACAGCAGTTACTACTGCCTGCTATCTTGAGAAAGGATGGGGTGAAGCCAGAATTGTGGGGAATTTCCTCTAAAAAGGTGGAAGAAATGCACCGTTAACAGGTTGATCCATGCTGAGGGATACCGGTTCCTCGGAAAGGAAGGGAGCGGTAGATCAAAATCAGCTCAAACTGAGGAAAACTGTGCCTAAGTGGAGGAAGCCATTGTCTCTCAAGTAGGGCATCCAGAAACGCACAAATCACAGAGGGAAATCGCCAGAGTCAGTCAGATGTCATTTCGACGAACTCTCATGAGCCAAGGGAAGAAAGCTTTCAAAAAACAATCATCGCTCCCAATGTGAATCACGATGCCATCGTCAGACGGAGAGTTTGATTTAGGTTGTTCTACCGGCGCGACAAAAAAGAGTTGGTGAAACGAATCATTTTCACTGGCGAAAAGGACTTCACTTTGGAAGTCTCCACGAACCGCCAAAACGACAGGGTGTAGGGAGTAGGGAAGAAACGTGACCTTTCTCCCGATAGACTTTATCATCACAAGTCGAAGTTCTCCCAAAAAGTTATGACAATTGCAGGAATCAGTTAGAATGGGAAAACCGACATCTTCTTCATCGACCCACAGCGAACGAAGGTGAACACCGCCGTTTACATCGAGATGCTCGTGAAAGACCTTCTTCAATCCTGCAGGATATTGTACCCAATCGATGAATACGTTTTCCTCCAAGACATTGCCCCATGACCATCGAAACCGGGCAACACGGCATTTCCTGACACAAAATACTCCCGAGTTCATCAAGCACACCGAATGGCCTCCGAAATCCCCGACTGCAACCCGCTCGACTATTCCACTTGGACAGCCCTGTTGGAGGTTGCTTGCAGGAATCGGCGTGAGCAATTTTCGTATTTCGACTCCCTAAAGCAAGGTATCTCTCGAGCCTGGGAATTGGTGTCTAATGACGTCATACGAAAGTCTATTCTCCAATGGAGGGACAGACTGATGGCAGCGTGTCAGGCGAAAAGAGGTCCGATCGTCCATCACTTCAAGTGAAGGTTAGGGCCGGAGAGTGAGCATTTACAACAAAAAAATTCAAGCAGCTTTCGTAAAATCGTTCATTCGGAAAAATGGCTTCATGAAAATAAACAAGGCTTTTGGAATGTTCCGAGGATAGATCAAAGTAATTAGCAAAAAATGTATTTCATTATGTCAAAGCGTTTCAAAGAGCGGCGCGTCTTTTTTTTGTCTCACCCGATATTTCTCCGGATCCCGACCCCTTTGTCAATCGGAACCCCGTCCTTCCCGCACTAACGCTGACAGCGGCGGGCATTACAAAGTAACCTTACATACCGAAATACATAGACTCACATCTATAGGAAACATTTAGGGCGCCCGGGGAGCTGAAAGGTGCGCCGACATATTGGATCATGCAAGTCCGAGCTTCGAAGTAGTAATCGGTGGAGTAGCTGCAGTGCTTGAGTCGTGGTGGCGGCTGGTGTGTAGACCCCCTTGGTACACCCCAGGTCCAAATGGTCCATGTGCTCCCCTGAAGCGAAGTCCCCTATAATATGGTAGGTCGTATACGGCCAGGTGCAACTTGATTGGCGTACCGGAATAGGGTCTGTCCACGCCAAGTGGTTCTCGGATTTTTGCCGGAAATTTTCCAAAATATACAAGTATTACATTCGCTACAGACGTCATCATCTCTATTCCCAGAAGACATGAATGAAACAGAATATTACTTCGTAAAATGAGAATTCATCATGATTATGATTCATACCATTCTCATAATACTCAAAAATGAGATCAAAATGCAAATCTGGAGAGACTGAATGGGACTACTGGAACAGATGCCAGCATGGGCTTTCCATGCATACTAATAATTTCAAATCAGCTCAGGTGTGAAGAGTAGATGTCAATTGTTCATATTTGAATGATATTTTCAAAATATAACTAAAAGATATGTACAGACTTCCCGTTTCGGAATACGTTTTCAGAACATGTCACATCCGACACCGTCACAAAATAGGCTTACTTTCTGTTTCAAGTGTTGTAATCTTGAAGTGATTTACCCTAATTACAGGCTTTCATTCAAACTCTAGAAAGAACAAGGAACTAAATTATTAGGGTGCGCTAGATGACATTTACGTGAACATTATAGCAATTGACTTTAACTTCAGGGTTCACAATGTCACGTCCGACACTTTTCTTAAAAGAAAAAAAAGGGCGGAAGACTAAATTGTGAAATTTTCAGTCACTACTCAAAGCAAATTGTTGCAGCCTTTATATTATGATTTGTCATCCATAATATAGTTAATTGTGCTTACTAAACATATTACTCCGGATGTCACGACCGACACCATGGACAGACTCAAAACATAAATATGAGGTGCCTTACCTCTATATCAATAATATTTAATAAAACTTTATTGAGAAACCAGCCGTCAAGCACCAATGAAAGATCGAATCGTATTTGAAGCCTCAAACGGTGCTAAGTATATGGTTAAACACTTCTGAGAAGGAAACCAATTTGAACTTCTGAATTTAAATATTTTATTTTCATAGCTCTATCCCAGTGTACTTAATATGGCTGAAATACGTGTCATGGTTCTACTACGGGAGCGAGGCCATCATGATCAATCAATGGAAAGATTATGAATGGAAAGATGCCAGGAATTCCACCTCAATATTTGGCAATGACGTCCTCCATAGCTTCAACTTCGAAAAGGTATGCTCAATTTAACCCAAAGTTACCCCTTGGTTCATGGTAACTTTAAGTTATATTAACGCGTCTCATACCTCCCGCATAGAACAATCTACCACGGGACATTTTCCTGCTGTTGGCCCTGATGGCGGGATTGCGCATCATCGCCTTCCTGGCCCTCTACATCCGAGCGTCTCGGCGAAAATGATATTCGAAATGAGTCTTTCTCCGCAAGAGATCTCCCTCATCGCAATAGTTCTTCCATCGAACGTGATTTCTATACTGAAGGAGAACATGATTGTGGTATCAATCAGTATGCGATAGTTTGAATGCTTACTGCCATTATTGACATTTTGTTTTATTTCTCCGGAATCTGTTGATAAATTCGCATGTGCTTTTTTTTCTATCCTTGATGCTCTTTCTTTGAAGTTACAATCTTGTGATATATAGAAAAGTCCGTAATAATTTCGTTGCATAATGATACTGGTGTTCGTTGGATTAATAAATTCAGAGATCGTTCTAAAATTTTGAGCACTTTGCATTATACTATAGAGGGTGATTACATGAAACGTTGACTACTTAGAATAAGTCTAACTTCCAAAGGGGTAACATAATCCTTAATGGAAGAAAGCTCCTTTAAACATCTACTCCTCCTCCCTAGGTTCTGGTACAGGAGGAAGAAGCAGTGAGTCATCTCGGTACTCCTTAGTACTGGTTAGGATGATTACGTATGTGTTCCTACGTGTTCTCGTGTACTCGTCCAAGTACCCTAGAGTTCAAAAGTATGAAAAAGAATGGAAGAAATACGGTTCATCCTTCAAAAGTACAAATTGGCTCGTTAAATACGCGTGAATGTTAGGGGAAATTAACATAAATTTTATGTTAAATGAATGCAAACATGATGTTGGGGATGTAAACAAGAATGTCAATTTTACATCAAATGTACGTTAATTTATATCACCTTTTGCGTATTACAGAGGTGATATTTTTGCAAACATGTTGACATTATCTTAACGGTGGTTTGCATAAAAAATATTTAAAATGGAAAAAAAATTACATTTATTTCACGTAAAATTAATATAACATGCTGCTTGGGATGCTTAGAAAACGTCAATAGCCGCCTTTTTTTAGGCTTCACTAATTTGCATGTTGCAACTCACCTAGACCAATTTCAATTGGATGTTCTGAATTCGCATGTCAAATTACTTACAGTAACGTATTTTTACCTTTTAATTCACTATTTTAATTGAAATATTGACGAAAAACTGTGTTATCTCAATGTTGTCCATCCGTGTAGTTTTCCCTGTACTTCATATTTGCCTGCTCCAGGATTGTGGAATCTTTCCCTTATCAGAAGATAAGGTTCTTCTTATACCCAGAATTTTAAGTGCATGGAAGTACTTGCTTCTTGGGTGTCCCTGTCTGTTTTCTCTCTCCATTCAGGATGCAAGGGGGCAACGACAATTTCGCGTTCCTGCTCGAGGTCAGTGAGTTATGACATCCCAATGTGCACAACTGAAAGCTATAGAATGAGTGTTAATTCGGTGTTAATTCGAGTGACGGAAAATACGTAAACTGTCCTACAAAACTAGAGCAAGGTCTTTCGTTCATCAATTGCGAGAACTACATTTCCAAGTAACAGATAAACGACCATGAAAACGTTCAACTTGTGCTCAAGTAGGGTTTGTTCCTTCCAATTTTCATGGATAAGGTTTCGGGCGCTCAATTAAGGTGCAGCGTTACTTCCAATATCCTATTCTTCATAAATTTTTTGAAGGACAATAGTTGAACGTTATAGAGGAGTTTTCTATAGGCACATTTATGCCACTCGATAGGGGCAAGAACAAACATTTGCGCAAAGTAAAATGGTGTCAAAATAACTGATTTGGCGAATTGTTACTTGATACAGCTGAAAATTGCCCATAATACTTTCACAAGGCATCCAATGTGTCCCTACAGACATCATAGGGGGACATTTGAATTCATTCACTATTCTCCAGAGAACTCAGGCTCGGAGGGATCAGCGTCAAACCTGACTCCTAATACTTGCTGGAGACTACATTATATTAAATCAGGGGTGGTGAAAGTCCTGCTCTCGAACTGCATGCACTAAGCAAAGTACCTTAGAAAACATGCACTTTGGTCACCCTTGGTATATGTAATCACCTCGAAGGAAACAGCAGGGGCGCGTGTCTCACTACTTCAGAAGAGACAAACTCGAATATGTTAAAATATTCCGCACCTTGGATACATTCTAACATGTAAATCTGCAGCAGGAAAAGGACTGCTGAGCTCATAGAACTCTGATGTCATAGAGTTGAGTTCATGGAAATTACAGGAAAAGTTCTGCTCCTGTGGAGGTAGGTTAATTCTCAGAAGGAGAAGCGAAAGATGAGTAGGAAATCAACTATCCTCCACAAAGGAAGTTAATACGCCAAATCAGATTTTGAGTAGCTTGGCAGCATGATGACCCCTGGCCCGGCAACAGGGCTTAATACAATTTAAATAATGAAGAGACCCGTTTCAAATAATTGCTTCATAGTTGGAATAATTATGAAAAGAGGAATGTTATAGAACATTCTGGTACTGCTTGGGGAATTTCAATTGATGTCCTTGAAGATTCAAAGAACGAATAACTTCAACTGTTCTTCAACGTTCTAAATTTCGGATATTTAATCAGTCAATATAGCGTTACAAAGGACGTTCACAACAGGGAAGCAGTACCTTAAATAAAACGTTTATTGAACTTTCATTGAGTGTTCTCACGCTACGGGGTTAGAAGGAATATATAACACATTGCGAAAGTCCCTAGCTGGAACCGCGAATACACAGGGGTAAAAAATAAACTATAACTACCCTCCATCCGATGCCTTCTAATCAAACATTTCTCATACTAAACAGAAATCCTCGACTGAAATGGAAATAGAGACGGCCACAAGGCGTAGACGCAGTAGCGTCTTGTCTCCTTCTACCGAAGTTATCCTCTCCTTCAAAAATGTGGATGCTTGGTCCGTACCGAAAAAATCCGCTGTGAACAGGCTACTCAGTCTCTGCATAAAACAAGAAGCTCAAAAAGTGAAACACATACTCCAGAATGGTATTCAACTTCTTCCTACTATATTAATTGTAGTGCTTCATCACAGTAATAGAACTGCACTCTTGACTTCTATATAATTCAATTTTCTAAGTTTATACCTCGATAGTAACTGGGATCGTGCGTCCTGGGGAAATGCTGGCCATCATGGGAGCGAGTGGGGCGGGAAAGACGACGCTGATGAACGTGTTGACGTCCAGAAACTTGGGGAAACTCAGAATCTCTGGGAAACTCATGGTGAATGGGAAAGCTATCAAGAGGAGCGCGTTGACGAGCATGTCAGCCTACGTCCAACAGGAAGATCTCTTCATCGGCACCCTCACAGTCAGGGAACACCTACGATTCCAGGCACGAACCATGAAAGTCTCTAGTAGCATGAAATTTCAATCGAAATTCATTGAAATTAAATTCGCTTTTTTCTATAGGCCCAATTGAGAATGGACAAGGAAATCAAGTATCGACAGCGCATGGATCGTGTGGAAGAAGTCATCATAGAGGTGAGGACAAAAATCATATTCCTTTTGATTTGTTAATCCATCATCATCCATAGCAAGCAGAATTATATTTTCAATTTATTACAGTTAGGATTGAGTAAATGTTCAGACACAATAATTGGGATCCCCGGACGGATCAAGGGGATCTCAGGTGGCGAAAGGAAGCGACTCTCTATCGCCTCTGAGGTTCACATTTCATTATTCCATTTTTCCCCCTGCTATTATTGGTCGTTATATAATATGCATGGAAAGGAAGGTTCACACGGTTTACGTAGGTCCTGACTGATCCACCGTTGCTTTTTTGTGACGAGCCGACCTCAGGCTTGGACTCATTTATGGCCCAGCAAGTCGTGGCTCTCATGAAGTCCCTGGCCGAGAAGGGGAAGACCGTTCTTTCAACCATCCATCAACCTTCATCTGAAATCTACACCATGTTCGATCGGGTTCTACTCATGGCAGAGGGGAGGGTTGCGTACCTGGGAGACGCTGATCAAGGCATCGACTTCTTTCGACAGTATGGGTCACATGAGTGGTAGCTTCAAAACCGTCATGGAAAGATTCCGTTTCTCTTTAATTTCCTAAAATACATATGCCAATTTTGGAGGGGATCCTATCGTGAGTCTTATCTGTGTAGGGGGCAATATTCTTGATTATTCGTTTCTCATATTTGTTAGGGGTTTTTTGCGTGTAATTTCTGACTTTCCTGGGGCTCGGGACTACTCGACTGTTAAAGAAAAAAGGCCCTTGGACGTGATTCAGGGTCAGATCAGGCAATGATTGCTTAAGAATGTCAAGTGAGGGAAGAAGGAAAATTCCGCAAATTCCTTCGTTGGATCAGAAAGCGACTATTCGTTACGTTCCTGAAATCCTGTATATCCCAATGGTCGGTTGAAATGAATTTTGCGAGATTCTACGCATCAACTGATGCTAATGATCCACTTGATCATTGGGGCACCCCGGTCGAAGATCTTTTTTTTATTGTAAAGCATTGATACCACAGGAATGCTTTAGTAGCTCTCAAGGCGTGTTACATTTTCCCATTCCCGTGAAGTATTTGATAAGAAGTAAAAAATTGCATTTTGTTAAAATATATTCTTCACTTATTTCCGTCGGAGATAACAGTGGTTATAATTAAAAAATTAAATAGTTGCAGAAAGGCAATCATAAAAAATTCATTTCACTCCCAAAACCCATTATGGAATCCTCACCAAAAAAAGCATTTGTATATTAAGATATGACGACGTTATAGGATCTTTCCAAGAACTTTGTGAAACTACCATGAATATTTTCATGAAATATTCATGAGAACACTTGAGGAAATAGGAGCGAGGGTTCACATCGATTACTTCGACGAATCTATAAGATGCCAGGCTTCCAAGACGCTGTTTGATAAATGCAGCGTAACGTCTATTATTCCCAAAAAGTTCTAGTAAAGTAATTCTTTTTACTTTCTAGATATGTGTTCATTTTTCCTACATGTAATACATAGGATGGGTGAGGAATGCCCGTTAAACTACAATCCGGCTGACTTCTACATCCACACCTTGGCCATCGTCCCGGGAGCGGAGGAAGAATGTCGACAGCGGATAGACCGGATCTGTGACGCATTCAGAGATACAGATGAAGCGAAGACTCTGCTGAAGGAACTTGGCTCATCCAGCGAAGAGGCGGGTGGGGAAACCCCAAATGACATGACGAGCGAGAACTACAATGAGAAGACGTCCAAGTATAAAGCATCCTGGTTACCACAATTTATTGCCGTCTTATCGAGATCCTGGACTGCAAACCTTCGGGAACCCATGGTCATGAAAATTCGACTCATCCAAACCCTGGTGAATACCTTTCAATTACGTCTTTTATTCTGTGGTTATCACGCGAAGCTTGGTTTTAAGGCCATCGATGGATTAAAAAAAAAACAGATTTGCTATCATCGAATACCTGTATACCGTAGCATTAATTATTTAGTGCACGCGAAGAGTTTTTACCCCCTCCCAACCATCGCTAAACAGTACGTAAAGTGCATGTAATGGGTTCTTATGCATTGCATTTCTTTAATACCTTTTTCAAGATTTAATCGTAAAAAGCCATTTCATTTCATCCTATTCTGGTCCTGAGTACTCGAGCTTGACAGGATTCCCTTCTTGTAGATAGTGGCCATACTGCTCGGAATTATCTACCTGCAGCAGGATTACACACTCGAGGGGGTAATGAACATCAATGGCGCCCTTTTCCTCTTCCTTGCCAATATGCACTTCCAGAATTTCTTTTCAGTCATCAATGTGAGTTTTCCTCCGAAGGTCTCCCAACAACTCAGTGCCAATTTGATGCGATTTCGATTCGTTTTTTTGTACCTATCTTTTCGTCTTTATTTTTTGCCATTTACTCTTTTCTGGTTGATATATACAGGTGTTCTGCGAAGAGTTACCTGTCTTCTTACGGGAACACCTGAGTGGAATTTACAGAACAGACGTGTATTTCATGGGAAAAACGTTGGCCGAGTTTCCGTTCTATGTCATCTTTCCTGTCATCTATGTGGCTCTTCCCTATTACATGATCGGCTTCAACGAATCGGCGGATCGTTTCTTCATCTGCGTCCTCATCATGGTCATCGTCGCCAATGTCGCTTGCTCCTTCGGTGGGTCCACGGATTCCGAGGAATTTTATTTTCAATTATCGACATTGTATCGATTCAGTCTTGATTCTTCCTTTTTCAGGGTACTTCATATCGTGCATCGCAAACACTGTGACCTTGGCTTTGTCTTTGAGTGCACCTATGTCCATTCCAATCATGCTCTTCGGTGGCTTCTTCCTCAACAATGAGTAGGTGCGATTGCTTTTTTAAAATGTTTTAAAGCAGAGATCAGCATCTCTGCATGTTCTGACGTGAAACCTCCTGAACTTTAGTTTTGGCAGTCACAGTCACTTTTTCCGTTTATCTGAGATTGTTATCTATTGTATGCAGTAATTTTTGTCCGGAGGACACATAAGGGCAAATGTTTAAATTGTATACCTCTAAGAAATAAATGCGCACGTTTTGGTACGGTACGGGGATTAGTGCATTTCAGCAGCATTACAGAAATGGGAATGTAAAGTGCTATATATGGTGGCATTTCTGTCGAATTCATGTTCAGAACCACTTTTGCGGTTAAAAAATGCCAGGCAAGAATCCAGGCGTCTTGGGCAGAACAGAATCACAGGAAATCCGGCTTTGAGCTTGGAAACGGCGAACCTTAATACTCTTACGAAAAGATAAAGCCCTAGAACTAAATCAGATTTTCATGAAAGATGCTTAATATGAATGGGAAATTTTTTTTCTGAATGTGAGCTATCTCTCTCTCCGTAGAGAAAATGAAAGGCACATATAGTGAGTGGCACTTTTTACGTGACCATTACGTGAATTAGAAACAAACTCGGAAATGCATTCTATCTCGCAATTTTCCAGGCACAGGCTTTTAACCTATGAATGGGTTTCAACACGCAACGCAGTTAGGATCTGTGGGTAGATAGTGTCAGTTCTTGTTAGAAGAACAGTCGTTTATTCAATTGCCAAGACGTATTTAATCTCCAGCTGGAAAATCCCTTATTTTATATGCGATATCAGATAGCCACTCACAAACACACTTTTATATCAGTTGCATTATGTTTTCCAGTCTACATGTTTTAATAAAACGTCAACAAAAATCATAGCTGAAAAGGAAAATAACCTAAGATATTTTGAAAAGTTCTAAACCACTCCATCCCTCTAAGAAAATCGTATGAATGGAGCAGGCGAATGCTCTCTTCATTGTCTTCTCGCCGCGTTTTCCAATGAGGAAAGAACTGCCAGACGCTTCACGATGTGTACCGCGTGACTTCTCTCCTATCTCGCCCTCCACTGGCACTCTAGTGCCCTGGGAGTAGGAGGGTGAACGCCGTACGTTTGCGTCTCGATCGAGGAGGGAACCAGCCACGACCGCTTGTATGAGCATTCGGTCCTCCCGGCGGTCATTCGATGGACTGCGAATGTGGGGATGAGTCGTGATCGGTCAATTTAACCATTTCGTCGCAAATCGACGTTAGGCCTGACCGACAGACTGTCTTAAGGTCAGGTTTAGGCCTACCTTCTTTCGTTCATAAGAAACTCAATCCTCGACTTTCGGAACCAATTAGGCATAAAAGGTTCAATCCCAGGGTCCTCGAGACGTCTAGTTGAGGACATATGACGTTAGGCCGAACGCAGGCTTCTTCATACTTCCACGAACCATTTCAGTACGGACGTGGAACGTTAGACCTATCTACATTGTTTTCGGATTGAATTGGTACTCCCCCCCCCTTTCTCCCCTAGATCAAGTACAGGCCATCAAGTACAGGCAGGCCTCCGCCATCAAGTACAGGCAGGACACTTTGCGGGTGGAAGGTGTAGTATCAAGAAAACTGTCCGACAGCCGTGCTGAGCAGCAGGCTTGACATCTAGAGGATCGTGTGGAAAGCTTGTGTTTTCTCCGTTCTCCACTATATGGTGTATCAATTCAAACAGTGCAGGGTTCCTGCACTGTTTGTGTCCCGACTAGTTCTGAGGCGAGAATGCCTCCAAGGAAGCACGAAACATAAGCTGGGCTCAATCCTGTTAATTCAGGGATATTCGGATGAAATATCTCCATATCCCACCATATCGATCGGCCACTGCTAACCACTGTTTCGATCTCAGCTCATCTTATGAACTCAGCACAAAAATGTCCCATACATGAAAAAAGGAACATCCATCAACCGATACGAAGACCAAAGCAGTCATGAAACTGACAACTCCTGCACGATACCCGGCAACAATTGGGGACAGGACCGGAGCCGGTACGCGAAGAATAATAAACGACAACAAATTTCATATTTTATGGCGAAAGGTTGCAACGCAAACAACAAAAGGACTTAACGTCATCTACAAGCCAATATCTTTCTATTGCCTGGTTTCTTTTCTCCGAAAACCCTCCAGAGTAGACTGCGGCAGTCCCCCTATCTAGGATTTCATTTGGGGGGGGGATAAGGTCTTGCGTAAGCGCTGTGGCTATTTTTTTATACTTGTCATATACTTGTCTTATACTTGTAAGTCTTTCTGACATATCTGGATTTTCCTGTAAGTTGCAGTGTTTAATAAGTCATAAGTTATTAAAGATAGAAAAGACCAAGAACTGCACCGTTTACACCGACGAATAGTGGTATGGCAAACATTTATGGAAGATATTTCGGGGGGAGGGGTTTGAACCCCATGAACCCCCCTCCCCCCCCCCTAAATACAGCCTTGAGGCAGCCCATGAAGGGAGAAAGGCTCGTACCGGAATGAAATTGGCATCTTAAAAGAACGAAATTCAGTGTTCTCCACAAACCCGGGGAGGCGGAGCCTCAAATTTTGTGTTGAGAGTCCAACTTCGTTTCCCCAGATCTCTCTCTCTCTCTTTCTCTCTCAGAAATGAATACATGGAGGTTGAATTTTGTGACAGAAAGGGGTTGAAGAAAAGTAATAAACGCTGCCAAAACCTAATGATAGAAAGGAAAGGATTTTCAGCGGAAATTTTTTGACAGATATTTATTGTGATGATTCCCGTCAACTCTTCCCCGTCAGTTGTTGGTGATAGCTTCAAAACGAAAATAAATGGAGATTTGTTTCAGTTTGGAAATTCTAACCGCAGATCAATGAACAACAAAATCGTACATGTTTCCTATATGCTACTCTTCTTTTTCTTCTCCTAATTTTTTCTTACTCCAGCTTACAACTTAAATAAATGGTCTCTTCCAAATGGGGAAGAGAAATATAACTGGCACATATATGAAGTAAATTACCTTTGATCGAATATTTATACCGGTCAAATCGCATCCTTATGAACTGTCTACCTTTCGTTAAAGCTGACTGGCTGACTGGAGTCAATGTCGATCTTACGCCTTCGAGGGGCCTCAGCCCTATATAAACGACTAAAAACCACTTTATTGAGCAATTAACACGCCAAGTTTGAAACGCCAATTGAACATCAACGCATTTTTGAAGCCTCAACCAGTGTCACACCAAACGGCCAACACTTCTAAAAAAGAGTGAACACTACCGAATCATTTCTTACTTTTGGGCTTCCCCTTTTTATTATTACTTTCGTAGCTCTGTCCCGGTGTACTTCATATGGCTGAAATACGTCTCATGGTTCTACTATGGCAACGAGGCCCTCATGATCAATCAGTGGAAAGATGTTGAATGGAAAGGTACTGGGAATTCCACTTCAATCCTTGGCAATGACGTCATCGACTCCCTCAACTTCGACAAGGTATGCCAAACACATTCCCTTCAGCTTATGATTACTTGGATTTTCATTAACGAGTTCCATACCTCCCACATAGGACAATCTACCACGGGACGTTTCCCTGCTGTTGGCCCTGATGGCAGGATTGCGCATCATCGCCTTCCTGGCCCTCTACATCCGAGCTTCTCGGCGAAATTGAAATTCGACATGAGTCGCCCTCAGCAAGGGTCTCCCCTGATCACGATGGATATACTCCTTTATAGAGCACGTATTATGTTCTCAGAGAGAACATGATTGGATTCATCACTGCGATATTTACTATTGTAATGGCTGTTATTATGGTCTTGAATCTTTATGTTGTTTTAACATGATATTATTTCACTGAAATCTGCTGACAGATTCGCAGATGCTTCATTCATTTCTTAATCCCACATTTGCAGGTCATAAGAGGTTAAGGCCCTGAAATGTGAAACGCACTAGATTTTTCCACAATCCCATGGTAGAGGAAAATCGTTCGATTCCTTGACAGTCTATACGTTCTCATACATTGATGCTGCACTTCAAGATAACCACGGAATGAATGACTAAAATGTATAAACTGATAACTGATGAACTACAAATATCAATCATTTGGAAAGTCGACTGACGACCCAGCATTTTTCCCTTTTCATTTTTCTAGCCTCCAGTTTTCATCAATACGCCTCCGCATGCCCCTATGAACTCAGTTTTGGTCAGCACACATTTTCCAGTACTGGAATCTTCTGAAAGAGAAAACTTGAGCTAACAAGAATCCAGAAGTCAGTCACTAGGGCAGGGTCTTTTTTTTAATTTTACCAAGTCTCTATAATTTAGGTCAGTATGTTTTCCGCATTTCAGTCCAGATTTTCAGGCACCATTGACAAGAGAACCCGAAGACCATTCCCCATCAGCCACTATCTCATCCGACAGGCGAGAAAATTTGCCACGTCCTTGATATTTGCCAAATATGAATTCATCGAATTGCTCTCTTATCTCGAGATAACCTGCCTTTATTGTCTGGACTTCGAAGCGTGCACCAGACTTCCCCGTGTCTCCTCGTCGCTCCTCACCATGCAAGGCGGCAACGGCAAATTCGCGTACCTGCCCGAGGTTAGTGAGTTATCCACTCTCTCTAGACATCCGTGATCCTACGCGATCCTTCTCCAGATTGCTCGAAGGGTTATTTGAAAGTCTGGACTTCTTCAAAGGCAAGGTATTATGAGTATCTGGTAAAGTGGCAACATGATCAATATCAAGGCTACGTTCCTGCATACATTTTGGCAATATGATGTAGATTCTAAATTCTTGGCTAAGACAATCAAAGATTCAGTTCAGGTGGGTTAAATTCTGAAGCCATAATAATAGTAACAGCAGCTGGTTGCATGGATGAGTAGAGGCAAGGAATTATACGTTATTTAATTGTATTTTTGGTGTTTTTCTTAAGAGGTTCCTTTACTACACTTGAAGAAATTGGAACTACGTCTATGATGCTGAATGGTGACTCCCTTGCGTTGGCTCATGGGTTACGTAATGATGGTGCCATAAAGTCTCATTTCTCCCAGTGTGCTGAGGGTGACTCCCTAGCGAAAGCATGTTGGTTATATAATCTTGCTGTTGAAGAGTTCCTTTTATCTTGCAGTGTGTGCTACGAAGAATTTACTCCAAATAATGCTGGCAATAGTTATTTTGACCTCATATTGAATTTTATGTTACAATGTTACTCTGATTTTGTTACTCTGAAATTTTCATTATTTTTTTTTAATTTACCACCCGATACTCTTTCATTTTGAATTTTTTATGTATCAATCCACTCTAGGTGGGGAAAAAGAACCGCAAACCAAAATAGTAAAAAAAACGGTGGGCCTACTTACTTTAAACAATATTATTTAGGAACATACGACGTTTAATAGATGGCTCCTTTCACACCTCCCCAAATGGGTAATGATGAATCTGTTGCAGGTGCGTAATTCACTGCAGTAAGAGATGCACGCGAGACCTAACTTCCAAGAAATATATATACATATGAATGAAATCTGGTGCCAAATGGCTGTGTATCTTTCATCCGATGGTAATAAGGCATGCAATTTTTAATTTGGCAGGATGGATCGGTTGAGGTGAAAATGGATGCCTTTAGGAGGCCTGCAAGCAATGGAGTCTTGCCTCCTTCCAACGAAATTTCCTTCTCCTTCGAAAATGTGGATGTTTGGTCCGTACCAAAAAATTCCTCCGGGAATAAGCTGCTCAATCTCTGCCGCAAGACAAAAGTTGAAAGCGTGAAACACATCCTCCGGAAAGGTATTCCCCTTTTTCGTTCTAATTGATCATCGAGACAGAATTAAAGGCTCGATTTGTATTTGATTGCATGACTTCATGATTCGATAGTAACTGGGATCGTGCGTCCGGGGGAAATGTTGGCCATCATGGGAGCGAGTGGGGCCGGAAAGACGACGCTGATGAACGTGATGACGTCGAGGAATTTGGGGAAACTCAAGGTCTCCGGAAAACTCATGGTGAATGGGAAAACTATCAAGAGGAGCGCATTAACGAGCATGTCCGCCTACGTCCAACAGGTTGATCTCTTCATTGGCACGCTCACTGTCAGGGAACACCTGAAATACCAAGTATGAATTGCAGAAATTTCCGGAAACGTGAAACATCTAATGAAATAATTAAAAACAGGCTTTTTCCTAATTCATTTCTCTTGTAGGCCCGATTGAGAATGGAGAAAGAAATAAAAAATAGACAGCGCATGGATCGTGTGGAAGAAGTCATCATGGAGGTTATGGCAAAAATGTTATTCTTCATATTATTTTATGCATCATCTGTAGGGAGTTGAAGAAATTTGAATTTAATATTGCAGTTGGGATTGAGTAAATGTTCAGACACAATAATTGGTATCCCCGGACGGATCAAGGGCATCTCGGGTGGGGAAATGAAACGACTCTCCATCGCCTCTGAGGTCCACATTCCATTATCTCATTCATATTTCTGTAATTCTTTGCAGTTATTTTTCTTAAACGGAATGTTCATGTTGCATACGTAGGTTCTGACTGATCCACCATTACTTTTCTGCGACGAGCCGACCTCAGGCCTGGACTCTTTTATGGCCCAGCAAGTTGTAGCTCTCATGAAGTCCCTGGCCGAGAAAGGGAAGACCGTCCTTTCAACCATCCATCAACCTTCATCAGAAGTCTACGCCATGTTCCATCGGATTCTGCTGATGGCAGAGGGAAGGGTTGCGTTCCTGGGAGACGCTGATCAAGCCATCTCCTTCTTTCGGCAGTACGTGTCCCTGAAATACTTTGGCAAAGAACACTTTAGGCAATAGAGACTATGTCGCAGCGATTGCTTCTGAGAATCTATCTATACGAGGTCATGCTTTCATAATTCGAACATCTACAGGTTACGCAGTCACAAAGAATGTCAAAATGAGGAATCCACATCATACATGCCAAAAATACTTAATTCACCTCATAATGAATTATTTGCAATAAAATAATAAATAGAAAATGGAATACCGTGTCATGCCAATGCTTCGTGTTTGGCACTATGAAATATATATGGACCTTTCAGCAAATATCGTAGAAGTCAGGGGATGGGCGTGAGGCAGTTGGAGTTATCAACGTAGCAGAGCGTACAATACGCATGTGCAACCAAATGATGTATTTTTCAAAGCAGACGTCTTGCCCAAGACTAGCTATCTTATGGAGCTCGTGCGCCGCGAGGTTCCTATCCAACTTTGCATTGCACTCATAACTCCATATTTGCATCCTTTCCAATAAGCGAATGCATTCAAGCTCTATGTAGTGGTTTTCCAACGATTGCATCGCTTTGAGCCGCTCCAATATCAAATGGGCTTATTTTTTTAATTTTGTTGTGGTTTGACTGAGAAGCATGTGGAGAAATCAATGGCAGTAGATGTTTTGGAGGTCTCAGTACTTGGTGAAACTCGCGGGAAGGGAGTTTCCTACTAATATTTTCGCTCATTTTTGCCACTTAGAATCTCCATTGCAATATGTCATATGGCGACGATAAGGCATTTTTTTAGGGCCTGATTTACCCCTAGCTGTCCTCGGTGCAAATTTCTTGCACCCATATTTACTATCCCATTCGTTCCGCTTCACTTAGTAAGCAATCTCCCATGCTTGTACGTTTTTCTGCTTCCTCATATTACCGGAACCCCGAACAAAACATTAAAAACACGTGGAAATGGAGACAATGTCGCAATTACGCTTGCAGTCGCTTTCTTTCAGCATATACGTTGACCTTTCCTATGGGAGAAAATCCTGCTGCGCAAATGAGTATAGGTGCGATCCGAGACTAGCCATCCCCCCCCCCCTCCCTGCTTATGGACATAGACTCCTTTGCTAAAAAGGGTCCAGGGTATGTCTTCTTGAGGGTTAAATATGAAAAAAATGTTTAGATGTAAAGCTCTATCTCAAAGGGTTATTTAAATATTCATTGAACCTCCTCGGAATTTTCTTTTTTAATTCCTTTCGATCTGGAGGGTTTGATATTCAATCCTTTCAGTGGGGTATAACTACGACGGGGTTATGTACAAGAAAAAGAATAAATATTTTAATACTTTTTGAGGCTGCATATTTTTCCCCTATATATAGTTATTCATAGGAATCGGATGCTACCAAATATAGTTCAGGTTTCATCCTTTTCAGGGTCGAACTGTAAAAAAGGTATAGATGAGAATCAAACACCATTTGCCAGGGTTATTTGTGCAATGTAAAGTTCCCCTTTAGACCATTTGATGGAGTTATGGAGCTACCCGTTTCCCACAGTACATACGAGGTAGAATAGCTCTTTCCCCTTTTCCCTGGGATCTCCCTCACAGCCCATTCGGCTCGACAACGTTTTGTCACCATTGATTAAGGGTTGAAATGCTGAGACATGGTTGATACATCCACATTTAAATAGGTACTACCATTTGGCGCGAGATGGCGCCTAAGCGCCGACTTAGCGATTCTCTCCCTGGTGCCATTGGAATGAGTACCCTGTATTTTTCACAGTACCCATTCTATTTCCGCGTAAGACTTCAGGGAAGGCTTTGGAATTCATAGATAGACCCGTTTAAGGAGATAACCAACAGACAGAGACTCCAAGTGCTTCTGGTCGGGGCATCTGAGGAGACATGCCGAAATTTCCCAAGTCTCTAAATAGCGCTAATACAGACTCAGGCTCTTGGTTTCTTTCGAGAGGGATAGAGCGTGTTGGGTGGTCTGCGGGGATGTGACTATGCTCCTATCCTAAGATGAGATAGATCTGGGGATGGTAGAAACGAAGTTCCTGTGCTGGACAGAAAAGGTTGCATCATCAATTCAACTCGAATTCTGATCCAGTAAAGGAAGTACTATCTTAGCGGGACTCCTCCGGGATGTTGGTACTCACTAGATTTCTATCATCCTTCCTTGGCCCACCGGATAGATTCGTCCGTGAGATGACAGAGCTTACAGAGTACTATCATCAACCTAATACACATTCAATCTTGTCATCTAATCGATATTTTGCGTTCGTTCAGGCTCAGGTAATGGAGGAGATACTGTAATGCCCAAACGTTGACAATTCAACGCCAGCACGACGTATTTTCAATGTTGAACTGTGTTTCATTTCAAAATTCCTTCAATATCGAGGTAACCTTTTGTACAACATTGAGGCATCACTGCTACGTTGACAAATCAAATTTTGCTCAATGTTGAGACGACGTTGCTGTGCCGAATGGGAGGTACGTTATGCCACCTCGTCCTGCGGCTCGCCTTGCCGCATTATAGGTAGCAATAAAACCAGACACTTCCTTATTTATTGCTCCGATGTTCGAGACATATTCCTGGATCTTGGACCAAAAGAAGTTTTCATTCCTAAACAGGGGCTCTTGCATAAAAAAAGAGTAAACTTAATCCACTTGAAACATCTGAACCTTATACACGTAGAAAGAAAATGAGTGTCCCTGAAATCATTTCCTAATGTATTCAACCAGAAAATTGGCTGATGAAATTGGGGTCTAACATTTAGGTCACTCAATGGGGTTAGAGAAAAGACTCTCTCCCTTATGACTACACGTAAACAAGGAAGGTTACATATTATCCAGCTCCAACTCGGATAATTATTTGTCCTTTTAAAATGATATTTTAATTAACCTAGAAAAGGGTAAGTATGTTACCCACAATGGATAAATATGAGCTGCAGTTGAAACACCATTTGGGAGATAAAAGCTGAATCATTTTCGCTGTACCTTCAGCACTCCTCTCGTCTTCCACACTCCACGTATCTTGGTAGAAGTCAGAGCGTTGTCTGCAGGAGCGGCATCATTTTCGTCTATCAATGCAATTTTTGCCAAGAACTTTAATTTTTCCTCACGTTAATGAATTCCTTGGATGTTCATACTAGAATATATTTCCCACTGTGTCTTCCTTCCTCATTTTGGCCTCCTTTGTGTGTGGCTAAATTAAACTAATAATTTCATAACCATAAGACGCAGGGCTGCCTCTTGAGCCCTGCAATGAATCCTTTTTGTCCAAACCGGTTGATGGGAGAGCTGGATTCGAATGATTTGAGCTTCGAAATGAACTATTAATGATGAAACAAACATTTTTGTTATTACCTAAAGATGTTCAACAGGTTTTCGTTGTTATCGAACCACAATAATCTTTGCTCTCAGCGCTTAAATGATTGAGTGGATTCAAAATTCAGCATTAAATTCTATTATTACTCTGATGTTCAATTGATGTAATATCTTTTTTTCTGTATATGCATTCATTTTCAATATTTGTCATCCTTAGGATGGGCCACGAATGCCCGTTAAACTACAACCCGGCGGACTTCTATATCCACAACCTGGCCATCGTTCCGGGAGCGGAAGAGGAATGTCGAGAAAGGGTGACCCAGATCTGCGACGCATTCAGAGACTCAGAAGAGGGGAAGGCTCTGGCGAAGGAAGTCGGCTTATCCAGCGACGAGTTGACGAGGTCGATCCCGAATGACCTGGCAGACGATAACCTGAATAGCAATGAGAAAACTTCCAGGTACAAGGCGTCATGGTTTGCTCAATTTTTCGCCGTCTTATCCCGATCCTGGACGGCAAACCTCCGAGAACCAATGGTCGTGAAAATTCGATTCGTCCAAACCCTGGTCAGTACCTTGCAATTATATCCTCATTTCTGCGATCATCAGGAAGCTTGGGTTTAAGGTTATTTCCTTTTTTTTTAATTCTCTGTTAGGGGCCATTCATGGAAATTACCGTTCAATCTATTCCACATCTGAAGAACATTTTCCCCTCCCTATCTCTACCACAATGTAATCGGACTTTAATGAATTAGTACCCATTGGACTTTTTATATATTAATTGTTAAAATAAACTAATCACAATCTATAGGCTCTATTTCATCCCATTTATGACGAAAAACCCATTCCCAGCAATTGAGTGTGGAATGCCTGTTTCAATGAAAATCATTTGATCTGGCAAATTACATCAGACCCATTTTTCGTCTACGACCATCATGGAATCCTTTCGTCCATGTATATAAGAGCTTGTCTCTAAGCATCTTTTTCAATTTTTCTCATTTTTTCTATTCTCCCATATTATTTCGTGGTTTCTGAAGTAGCATCTGTGAACTCATGATTTTCGCTACTGTATGTTCTGCTTCGTCACCCATTCGAGATTCCATCCTCGTCCTGCGTAGATGGTTGCCCTATTGTTGGGGATCATCTACCTGCAGCAGGATTACACGCCCGAGGGGGTGATGAACATCAATGGCGCCCTTTTCCTCATTCTCGCCAATATGCATTTCATGAATTCCTTTGGAGTCATCAATGTGAGTTTTCCTCCGAAGATTTTCCAGCGACTCCGTGACAATTTGATAAGATTTCAGTTCTTTTTTCCGTCTTACTTTACTTTCGCCTTTATTTTTACCACATACTCTTTTCTAAATGGAATGTGCAGGTTTTCTGCGAAGAGCTACCAGTATTCTTACGAGAACACACGAGTGGGATGTACAGAACAGACGTGTATTTCATGGGGAAAACGTTGGCCGAGTTTCCGTTCTACGTCATCTTTCCTGCCATCTACGTGGCAGTTCCCTATTACATGATCGGTTTCAACGCATCGGCGGATCGCTTTTTCATCTGCGTCCTCATATTGGTCATCATCGCAAATGTCTCTTGCTCCTACGGTGGGTCGACGGGTCCCGGGGAACTTTATTTCCGAGCATCGACACTGAATCGATTCGGTCTTAATTCTTTCTTTTTCAGGCTACATGATATCGTGCATCTCAAGCAGTGTCACCATGGCTTTGGCTTTGGCTCCACCAATGACCATGCCACTCATGCTCTTCGGTGGCTTCTTCCTCAACAACGAGTATGTGCATTTGCTTCTCTAATTCTCGGTGTCTGGTAATTACCAGATCTATTTCCGGGAGGAGCCACTGGTAATATTGCATGCGTGCATTCGTCATCTGGAAGCTTCAGTTCGTGCACTACAGTAATCCGTTACGGTTCCAAGCGCTGATTATATAACACCCTCTGACAAGCGGACCTTGATATGCCAACCTGTTACTCCGTGTTGATTTACGAGGGCTGTCTGCCATCTGTCACAGGAAGGTTTTGATGATCCCCTCCGTACAAGCACTCGGTGCACGTTCCGGAGAAGGATTAATCCTCGGGTGCTAAGGAATCAGTGGGGGAGGGGGGAAATCAGGTTTTGGAGGTAGAGCGCTGACACACAGCTGAGCACAGACTGACAGACAGACAGACAGACAGACAGACATAGGACAAAGTGCAATTATCAGTGATAGTCAATGACTTTTTTTTCCCATGACATGTGTTTGACCTTAAACACTGTATATGTTGAAGCTCTGACACTGGAACATGAACTCTGTTAATTCTCAGACAAGGATGCGGTAGCATTTTCCATTGGATTTCTATCCCTTTAAGTCGTTGCTGCGTTTACAAGCATTCGTTAGAGCATCGCAGAGGCGGTAAATATGATTCAGCCACAGTATGCTTCTTTCCACATTAACATTATCGGAACACCTGGTGACTCTCCAAAATTCCTTGAAAATAAATCTGGTAAGGCATGAAAATCCCCCCCTCTTTGAAATTCTGCGACGTTCATGGGACAGCTGGTAGCGCAACGAAGTCTTATTTTGCTTCTCAATCCTCGAAACCCCTTTAAATTATTGTCGGTTTCTCGCCACTCTTCGACCGCCGAGCCTTCAGCATGCAGCCTGTCGTAGCGGACCAGTATACCGGACGGCAAGACGCTGACACCGTTCCGCCACGAGAGCGATTTCGCGATAGAAATTCGAATTCCGATTTTGCACGAGGATAGGTTTTGCTGGGAAAGTGGTTGGTCAGGGTGGTTTGCATATGTTTCTGATCGGTGTTCATCTGCGCCCGAAATGATGAGGCAATTATTCAATACTCAGCCGTCCGGGCTTTCCTATTTTGTTACTTATAAAGGTCAGTCCCTGTGTACTTCATATGGCTGAAGTACGTCTCATGGTTCTACTACGGGAACGAGGCCCTCATGATCAATCAGTGGAAAGATGTTGAATGGAAAGTTGCTGGGAATTCCACCTCAGGCAATGACGTCCTCGACTCCCTCAACTTCGACAAGGTATGCCGAACACATTTCCCTTAGCTTATGGCAACTTGAATTTTCATCAACGCATCTCATACCTGCTGCACAGAACAATCTACCACGGGACGTTTCCCTGCTGTTGGCCCTGATGGCGGGATTGCGCATCATCGCCTTCCTGGCCCTCTACATCCGAGCGTCTAGGCGAAAATGAATATCCAAATTATTCTCCCCGCACAGGAGTCTCCCCTGATCTCAATGGATATACTCTTCAATCGAACATTTTTTTTTGTTCTGAGAACATGGTTGTGGCATCAATCAGAATGCGATATTTACCATTGAAATGGCCATTATTATGGTCAGTCCTATTTATATTGTTGACGGTGTTATTTTGCCGAAATCTGTTGACAGATTTTGGCAGTTGACAGATGCTTCTTTTCATCCCTTGTTCATACGTTTGCAGGTCATTCACTAGAAGCGAAACCACTGATATGTGAAATACATTAAATTTTCGCACGCTCCCACTGAAGAGAAAAATCATGCAATTCTCATTTCATCCCGTGACACACTGAATAGGTTCTCATACTTTCATGCATGCATTTCAAGAGACTCAGGAATGAATGACAAAAATTGAAAAGTTGATGAGCTAAAACTAGCAGTCATTTGCTGAAGCTTGGCATATTTTCTTTAATAAGCCAGTGTTCCTTGTGAATGTCGGTAAACTATTAATACATATGAGAAGATACCTCTGTAGGCTTTGCATGAACTTGGACTATTATAAACCTAGAAATCGTTAGTCACGCTCATATCGATTCCCTTAAAGTTACTACTTAGTAATATGCAGACTAGTCTGTAGTGACTTCGTCCTGTAATGATAAGACCAGGTGAATTTATTAGCACAACCACGAAAAATGGCGTAACTTTCTATTAATACATAATAAAGCTGGCAAGTTCAAATTTGACATGAACCGAGATCCAAAGAATGCAAAAGTTACCTTTACTGCAGAAGGTGATGGAATTGATTCCCATCGATATCTAGGTACTATTCAATAAGACGCTACAAGTTTTTAAGTATACTGGGTAGTGCAGGGTGTTTCTTTATAAAGCCCGTATTTGCTTTTCATATAACTTTTTTTGCCCAGCACCGTTTCAGTTCGTTGAGGACTCATTCGAAAGAGTTTCACATTTTATACGCATTTTGCACTTAATCAATTGATGCTATGAGCGCTGAGAAAGCTCTGTTGTCGCGCACATTGCTCATTTCCTTATGTGCCTCTGTGACAGCGCACTTGGTGTGAAATCGGAGGAAATCGGTGGCCGTAGGTCTTCCCTTAGGATTCTGTCTTCGAAGAACTGCAGAAAGTGAAATCTGCTACTTTCTGAGTTAAGGCACCAAGTCTTTCTGGAAGTAACCTTGAGTGAGCTCAAAGTCTTCGAATTGGTTGACGAATTTATTAAAAACTGAAAAATCCTCTATCAACAATCTTCACACCAATCTGCAACTACAGGAGAAGATTAAGAACAGAATTCCTAACATTACTGTTAGATGAACTGCTTTTTACTTTTGAAAACTTGCAATTTCGTGTTCAAGTGATCGACGGGGACCGATCCCAACATTTGCTGCGAATCCGGATGAGTCGCGCTTGGTTAGATGCAAAATTCCCCTTGGCTAGGTTTATTACGTAGGAATTAATGCCATTTTTCTTGGGTTGCGCTAAAAAAAATATAACCTGTAGCTTGTAATTGATGTATGTAATACTTTCACGTGCTAACATTAGACAACACGAAAAGCATGTCCCATCGTGTCCACTACTACCACTTCAAACAGACAGCGCGGAATGGTTTCCTTATCTGAAGATAACGTTGTTTTAATACCATGACATATTTAAGTGTGCAGAAGTAGTTTCTCCTTGGGTTTCCCCCGCCTGTGTCGCTCTTCATTCATCAAGATGCAAGGGGGCAATGACAATTTCGCTTACCAGCCCGAGGTCAGTGAGTTTAGGACTTTCCAATGCATAAAACTGGAAGCTAGAGAACGTGACGTCTCTGGGAGTTGTTGGAGTTATTTTAGCCTATGTTATTAAATGGAAAATCATCCATCATTCGTTCAAGTAAACATAGGAAGAAATACGGTAATCTATCCCGGGATTCCTTAGCTGAAACCTTGAATGCACTCCAGTAAAAAAGAAAAAACAAAACTTGAATATAAAACATTTCGCGTACGTACCAGAAGTCGTCGGTCGAAGTGGAGATGGAGGCGACAAGGCACAGAAGCAGCAGCGTCTTGCCTCCATCCGCCGAAATCATCTTCGCCTTCGAAAGTGTGGATGTTTGGTCCGTACCTGAGAAGTCCACTTGGAACAGGCTGCTCAGTTTTTCCCTGAAACAAGATGCGGCCGAAGTGAAACACATACTTCAGAACGGTATTCCGCTTCGTCGTAGTACAAATAACAATTACAGTGCTTCAGCGTGAGAAAATAATCTGATTATTCGCTTTAAACTTACTGAGTTACTACATCGATAGTAAATGGCATTGTGCGCCCGGGGGAAATGTTGGCCATCATGGGAGCGAGTGGGGCCGGAAAGACGACGCTGATGAACGTGATGACGTCGAGAAACTTGGAGAAACTCAGGGTCTCCGGAAAACTTATGGTGAATGGAAAAACTATCAAGAGGAGTGCATTAACGAGTATGTCCGCCTATGTCCAGCAGGAAGATCTCTTCATCGGCACCCTCACAGTCAGGGAACACCTACGATTCCAGGCACGAACCACGAAAGTCTCCAAAAACATGAATTTTCAATCGTAAGCTACTAAAAAAGGTTTTCTTATATTTCACTTTTTTCTATAGGCCCGACTGAGAATGGAGAAAGAAATCAAATATCGGCAGCGTATGGATCGTGTGGAAGAGGTCATCATGGAGGTGAGGGTGAAAATGTTATCCTTAATATTCTCTCATGAACCATCTGTAACGGGTTGAAGAATATAAATTGAATTTGATATTACAGTTGGGATTGAGTAAATGTTCAGACACAATAATTGGTGTCCCCGGACGGATCAGGGGCATCTCAGGTGGAGAAATAAAGCGACTCTCCATCGCCTCTGAGGTCCACATTCCATTATCTCATATCTATTTCTGTAATTCTTAGCCGTAATTTTCCTTGAACAGGAAAGCATTCCTATTGACAATCAGGTCCTGACTGATCCACCGTTGCTCTTCTGCGACGAGCCGACCTCAGGTCTGGACTCGTTCATGGCCCAGCAAGTCGTGGCTCTCATGAAGTCCCTGGCCGAGAAGGGGAAGACCGTCCTTTCGACCATCCATCAACCTTCATCCGAGGTCTTCGCCATGTTCGATCGGATTCTGCTCATGGCAGAGGGGAGGGTTGCATTCCTGGGAGACGCTCATCAAGCCATCGCCTTCTTTCGCCGGTATGGTGCCCTGAAATACTCATGTAAACACTCGCAGCCAAGTAAGTATCAATTGCTTCTGAGAACTGAGACGCCTTGAGGGGAAATATTGCAACTCTGCAGACTTCCATGGTTCGTAGAATAATAATATTTATACTGCTTTGCAACTAATTTTGCAAAAAATAAGGAATCTATCATTCTCGATCAATTTATTACATTGTTGCTCTACGAGTTGAAGCAAACCAAAATCAGTGGGAAGGTGGAACAATTACGGCACAGTTAAACTTTTCCCTTCACGTTTCCCAGAACTGAAATTTCTTCGTGCTTCGGGCGAAGTATAGTGAAACTCATATTTTTTTGGAGGTATTTCATCTCAGAGCAGAATTTAGTTGGTAATGGTAGTTAACCGATTCTGGTTTGTTTTCGTGCAAATGGCAGCCAATGATGTCCGACATTTGACATGAAAGGGTTAATTGCCCCACGTTGAAGAAATTCTCTCGTTTAAGTGACAGAACGTTTGCAACTAGGTGTCTCGCCTCTTCTCTATCGCTGCGGTGTGTGACCGCATTGAACCCTTTTTTCATTTCCATCGAAACCGAGTACAACGAGAAGCAACCGTATAGGAGCGCCCAAAAGGGAAGGGAGCGAAACTTTTATGGACTCAGTCTGGCAGTTTTGTTCCAAGCATCGAAGACGTGAGCAATGTGCCCTCGTGACTCTGATTTGCGTGGTCCGCACACCACAGAGATGTTAGCCTTGGGCGTGGAAGGGTGGGTCTTATAAGTCGGAGAACCTACTCGTAAATTGCGGAAAGCGATATCAATTTGTTCCGTGGAAGACCGTCAAACCAGTCTGTGGGTCCTCGAGCTTGTATTAGTTTCCGCATTGTTTTATGTTTAGGATGGGCCATGAATGCCCATCGAACTTCAACCCTGCCGACTTCTTCATCCACACCCTGGCCCTCGTCCCGGGATCAGAGGAGGAATGTCGACAACGGGTGGCCCAGATCTGCGACGCATTCCGAGACTCGGAAGAGGGGAAGGCTCTGGGAAACGAAATTGGCTCACCCGACGACGAGGCGCCCTCTAACGACCTGGCAGACACCAACCAGAACCAGACCGAGAAGACGTCCAGGTACAAGGCCTCCCGCTTCTCCCAGTTTCGGGCGGTCCTCTCCCGTTCCTGGACGGCCAACCTGCGGGAGCCGATCATCATTCGATTCCGAATCGTCCAAACCCTGGTCAGTTCTTTTCAAGCGCCTCTGGCCCCTTCAGCAAAGGGCGAAGCTTGCTCTCTCTGTTCTCTGCTGTGTTTCTTCACTTTCTTCAAACTTCACTCCGAAACTACTCCGGCTTTTTTTTTTTACTCTTCGGTTCACAAAAACCACCTTCGTTACTCCCTCAGACAGGTAATGGTGAACTATTGGACCCCTGCCAATTAAAATTTTAAATAAATACGGTTTTTGCAAACTAGAATCGATGACGCGGAGGAGCACCCACTTCGACCAATCCATTACAGACAACCCATTTCCCTCAATCGGCCAGAGGATCCTTGCCTCCTTGAAATGCATTTCATAGCTCGCAGACTCCTTCATCTCAACCCATCTCAGACTCCTTCATTATAACCTCTCTTAGACTCCATTCATCCTTGCAGAGGAAGCGAAACTGAAGAAAGAGTCCTTCGTACTTTTCCGGTACTGAGCTCTTGTTACAGACATGTTGCACTACAGGCATGGTGCATTACAGGCATGGTGCACTACAGGCATGATGCATTACAGGCATGATGTATTTGCTGTAAAATAAATTCTAAATTCGGAATCCTCGTTGAAACCGAAATGGACAATCCTTTTCAGTTCGCCTTTTGTCCTCATGACCCACATGATTCCGCCATTTCTCAATCAACCGCGTTAATTACTTGGAATTAGGATTCTGATTTTCTCCTCTCGCAGGTCGTGTCCTTACTGCTCGGGATCGTCTTCCTGCGACAGGATTACACGACGCAGGGCGCGATGAACATGAACGGGGCCCTCTACTTCTTTCTCATCAACATGCACTTCCAGAATTCCTTCTCGGTGATCAACGTGAGTTTTCCCGCATTTCATTCGACCGGATGAAAACTTTTTCAATTTTTTTTGTACCCCTTTCAGTTATTATTTACAGATTTTTTACTTTTTTTTAAACCAAAATTTATTTTTACCAAAATTTATTTTTACCATAATTTATTTTTACCAAAATTTATTTTTACCATAATTTATTTTTACCATAATTTATTTTTACCATAATTTATTTTTACCATAATTTATTTTTACCATAATTTATTTTTACCATAATTTATTTTTACCATAATTTATTTTATCGTAGGTGTTCTGCGAAGAGTTGCCCGTGTTCCTAAGGGAGCACCAGAGCGGGATGTACGGAACGGGCGTTTATTTCGTGAGCAAGACGCTGGCCGAGTTCCCGTTCTACGTCCTGTATCCGCTCCTCTACACGGCGGTCGCGTATTACATGGTCGGGCTCAACGAGTCGCTCGATCGGTTTGTCGTCTGCGTCCTCATCATGGTCGTCGTCGCCAACGTCGCCTGTTCCTTCGGTGGGCCGGAGGATCCCGAGTTTCCCGAGCGCCGACCCCGAATCGACTCGAGTTTTTTAATTTCTCTTTCAGGGTACATGGTGTCGTGCATCGCAAACAGCGTCGCCGGGGCGTTGTCGTTGGCCATGCCTATCTCTCTCCCACTCCTTATGCTTGGTGGCTTCTTCCTCAACAACGAGTATGAGCAATCGTTTTCCAAGTCAATATTGGGCTGATGGTACGGTGAACTATTCGACCTTGAAAGTCTCAGGCATTCGTTTTTAATAGCTTTTCAAGGCCGAAGGAAATCTGTAAACAGTATCTGTAAAATGTTCCACCCATTCTGTTTACAGAAACCTGTAAACAAAATGGGTGAAAATTGTGATACATTAAATGGTACATTAAGTGGGACGTTAAGTGGTACATTAAATGGCACATTAAGTGGGAAATATATTGTATTAATTACCGATCTTTCGGGCTCCCCGATCTCGTTCGTAGCTCAGTCCCCGTGTACTTCGTATGGCTGAAATACATCTCGTGGTTCTACTACGGGAACGAGGCCACGATGATCAATCAATGGAAGGACGTCGAGAGCATCCAGTGCGAGCGCGGGAACTCCTCCGCGCCGATCGAGTGTCCCGACGGGAATGCACTCCTCGCTTCCCTCCACTTCGACGCGGTATGTTTCCCGCGCTTTCCTTCGCTCGCTTGGAGGCTCCTCTGAGTCCGGTGCCTCTTGCGTAGGACAATCTGCTGCGGGACGTTTTCCTGCTGTTGGTCCTGATGGCGGGCTTGCGCATCATCGCCTTCATGGCCCTCCACGTTCGAGCGTCGCGGAGATGAACGTCGAAGGTGACTCGGTCCTCGGGAGTTCCCCGTGTGTACGATAGAAAGCCTGTTGCTTTCAACGAGGCAGGGTCTTCTTTGTCGTGTACTGAGGGAATATGAGGGTGGCATTTCCGTCAACGCGCGATGTTGACATCGTATTGGCCATTGTTATGGTTGGCAGTATTGATATTATTTTCGGGAACGTCGCACGTGATGTTGTTGAGGGAATCCCAGATGTTTCTTTTCTTTTCTTGTCCCAAGATGTATATCATTCACCAGAGGTGAAAGTATTTATGTGCGAAATACATTGTCTTTGGCCACGTTCCCAATCGTAATGAATATGAATCGAGTCAGTTTCATTTAATGCACGCATTAAATGGACTTTTACGCATTCATACATGCATTTCAGAAGGTTCAGGATGTGTATACCCAGAAGTTTATAAATTAATTGCCTGGAAATTCACTGAAAACGTCTTTGATATGTGATTGTGTCTCAACTCGTCCACTGAATTCCAAAGAAGTCATTCATCACACTGCGAAGAATGACCAAATCAACCAAATCTACCAACTTATGTCAGCAAGCCCAAAGACGCAGAACTAACAGCGTGACAAAAGACGACGCAAAAAGGAACGAAATCGGGTGAAGGCCGCAACACTCACGAAAAGAAGCATACGAAAAGAAGCATACGAAAAGAAGCAGACGAAAAGAAGCAGACGAAAAGAAGCAGACGACGAAGTAGCAGACGACGAAGTAGCAGACGACGCGCCTGGAGGAATCTCGGCCGCACGCGTTCCCGTCCTTCCCAGAGCGTGAGGCAGCGGCGAGACGGGCAGTCGTGTCTGTGCCTTCGCCATGGAGACCGCGCCACTCCGACCGCATCAAAACGTGAGTTTCCCGCCGGGAACACCCCCGACCCGATCGAAGACCCAGCCCTTCCTCGTTTCAGGGGAATTCCTACCGGTCGCTGAGTCCGCGAGAGGAGGGATCGGTCCTGGCCTGGAAAGACCTCGACGTCCATGCCCCGATCAGGCATTTCGACTGGTGGCGGCGACGCAGCACCCCCAAGTATAAACAGGTTCTCTTCGCTGGTGGGTTTTTCGTCCATTCTCTCTCGCTCGAATGCATTTCTCGGTCTGCGGCCGGAAAATACGTGACCGAAATAGGAATTCCATGCCGTGGATGAAAATCCATTTGAGAATCCATTTTGGAGATACGAGAGCATGGCGAGACGAGTGACAGCCGCCGTGATTGAGAGCGACGTTTTCACTCCTGATCAGCTGAGCATCCGGAAGGTAGAGTGCTGCACGGGACGAAAAATTCCATCCCGTCCTGCGCAATGCTTCGCCCGGAAACTCGCGAAGAGTCAAATGCGCCATGCACAAAATGAACATTGAATATGTCTCACCCGCGTGAACCCCTTTCCCCGCGATAGAAATTTCATCCGGAAAGAAAGCTTAAAAGCAAAACGAACTTACCGAGCACGTTAAACCGAGTCGAAACGAAAAATCCTCTCTTTTATTACTCTCACCATTATTATTATCATCCGAAGCCGAAGGATGCGCGAGACCAGGCGAATTCCTCGCCATCCTGGGAGCCAGCGGATCCGGCAAGACGACGATGCTGACCTGCCTCGCCCAGCGAGCCTCCCCCGACCTCCTCATCCGCGGCCAGGTCTCCCTGGACGGCCGGGAGGTCAGGGACTTCTTCGATCGATCCGTCGCCAGCGTCTCGGGGTTCGTCCACCAGGACGACGTCTTCCTCCCCAGCCTCACCGTCCGGGAACACCTGCGGTTCATGGTATTGCGGGGTGTCGGGGTGAGGCAGGGAAAAGGTAACCGAGAGTAACTGAGGTAACTCAGTCATCAGAACATTATCATATTTATTGTCACGGCTGAGGAAAGTGTGATTGTTCTGGTCGCCACTAGGCGGCACCCTCGGGGGCACCGAGGGTGTCACACCCGCTTCATAGCCCTTCATAACCCTCTCTTTTGTCCTCTACAAATCCCTCTTGCACTCTGTTGTGGAAGGCGCCAGCCCGAGTAGCATAATGACGGTGTTGCGAGCATTGAAAGTTCTTACGCGGAGGGGTAATCTCAATATTTCTCCGGATTCTCTCTCGAAAACAGGGCTCTCTGTCCTATTTTCTCCTTCGCCTTGGCGATCCTATTGGCAAATTACTTATTGTTTTCGTCACCGGTCACCTAGTCACTGATTCGCCGTACGTCGCAATATGTAACATGTTACCCACGACAGCACATTGCGAATCCGGTCATTATTTTCAACACGGTGCATAATCACGTGTTCATTACGCTCACCACCACGCTGAAGGCAATTCAATGCTTTGGATCATATAGATGCGCGGAATATATGACACAAATAAACACATCTCCAGTTCCCTTTTTCCTGCCTCCCCCCGCATAATAATGTACAAATGATGCCTACTTGCGTAATATTACTCATCGCCAAAAAAAAGTCACAACAAGAAGGTGTTGAGCGATCTTCATGAAATATGGTAAACATACTCGTATCAGTGTTTCATGTAATTTATGTCAGTTTCAAGGTCGTAGGTTGAATGTTCGCAGAGAAAACTTGTCAAACATCCCAATTTAAATGGGGTCGGAAGGGTCGTACTTATCGCCCACAAAGAACATCTAGAAGGAGTTTATTAATGACATGCGAAACAGGAACGTCTACTGATGTTTAGTACAATGAAGGAAAGTTTCAAGGTCATAGGTCGAAGCGATGCAGGGAAAACTTGTCGATCCAGCCGAACGCCCCGAGGGATGGGGAAAAGGGCGACTGCACTGATGAGGCCAGTTTCCTTTTCTGCTTCCTTCCATTCACTCTGCTTTGCCTCAATCGTTTATCTTTCGTCTTTAAAGCCATGCCAGGACGACTTCCACCGAGGCAGTTTCGCCAACTTCACCAGTTCTAGCGAGGTCGGTTGGTTGGCATGATGGTGGCTGGGGACGGGCCAAAGGACTTCTTTTAGGACTGTGTACCGGCGTGCAATCCAGCTGGGACTGCGGTCTAGACGACCTGACTACCTGTCCCCACCACCAGTACCTTCCGAGAATACGGGTATAAGCGATTCGGTCTCGGAGAATCTACGTCCTCAAATACCGGTCATCCCTGGGCGTCCGGATGGGGGGGGGGGGGGGGGGGGGGG